AAAAAGAAAAACAACATTTTATGAATCTTAAATATTTAAAAAATTAAAAAATTTCGCAGGGACCATTTGTGATAGGTAAGTGAACCTCATGGATGTTTTGTGATATATATATGCCACGTCAGCAAACTAACGGAGTTTTTGACAAAACCTAATGGCATGGACCATTTGTGATCACACATACTAACCTTAAGAACCAAAAATGACAAAAAAAAATAAAAAATTAAAGATGCAATCTGATAGTTTCGTAAACCTTAGAGACGTTTTGTGATAATAAGTCTTTTAAAATTTGCCACATGCCTTTCCCATGCTTCTACCTTTTAATATGGGTTCGTCTACTGCTATGCAGCCCGCCTTTTCCTATCCTCTGTATTTCTCTTCTTTCTTTTGCCAAGATTGGCTTGCACTGCACCACATCTTTTATTAATAATTTTTTTGTTTTCCTCTCCTCGTCGTCAACTCAAATTTGGGGTCTTGATAGTTTTGTGCTTATTAGCCAGATTGGCTTGAAATTTCGTATGTTCCCTTTCTCATTGGAGTCGTTGTGTGGCTGGAAAGAGAAACCTGTGTTCACGCGGTTCTCTCTCTCTTCCATTATTTTTCTTTCCCCTCTCTGTTTTTCCATCTGTTCCTACAATTTCCTTGTGGGTTTCTTTTCTTCAGTGTAGTTTCTGCTGCACGGCGTCCTTTGGCTCTTTATTTTTCTGTTGTTTAATTGAATTCCATTTTTACCCAAACAAAGGTAATTACTATTTTTGTGTTTCATCCATGTCACTTATCATCTTCTTCATATCTAACCATCAAGTGTGCAGTGGCTGGGTAAACTGGTAAATTTTAGAGTCGAGAATTCCTAGCCCATAAATTCAGGCTTACGCCATTGACCTTAAACTAATATACATGAAATTATTGTTGACATTGAACAAAATTTTCCAAAATGCTGGACTATTATCATACGTCATCGTCATGTGTGCAAAACTTCGTTTGAATTTATAAATGGGGTACTCAAACTTAAGACTTCTAGTGTAGGAATAAATGCGTTTACTCAACTGAAGGTCATTACTTAAGAGCGTTGCTAAACGAACCCTAAAATTAACTGAGTACACCCTACTACAAAAGTATATATTGAATTACTGATTTACCCTAATATAAAATAACCAAAAATGATATATGGAATTGTGAAACAAATATAATTTTAATAAGTACACCCTACTAACCGTATTCAACCCTAATCAAGAGATTACTTGGTTCCCATCTTTGTGATCCGCAAGTTAGAATGGCTTGGAGCAAATATAATCTTAGGCTGTTGTTCAATACATGACTGAGCTTGTCGTGAAAAAAGAAGTTAAAGCACAACCTGCTAAGCAGAAGAAGACTTGGGCTCAAATCTGCTTCATCTCACGGTCCAAAAGGAAGCACAGCTGTGGAGATTATGTGAAGGCCTGATTAATCATTGAATTCCTGACAAGAGACACGATAATTTCAATCAAGTAAGTTGTCAAAACAATATTATGGTGAATTGACTTATATACTGTAAAAATAGAATTTATGCATATTACTTTTGCCTAGTTCACTAACAACATGAATGAAAAACTCTTTGACCCTACTGTGGTGGCACCATCTTCATCCCCCTTTTAGGACTTAGTTTTTCTGGCTTGTGAGCATGTATGATTAAAAATATCTTAACTAGTACTACTAGGGCCAATTTGATGAAGTTTGCAATGACTTTCTTTTGCCACTCATGCACCTTTCTTATTGTTTTTCTCTTATGTTCTTATAAGTGAAAAACATGAAACTTGATCAATTTTAGTGAACCAAAAGTACACCTTAGACCACTAGCTTTGGGGGAAAAAGTCTTGTTATTCGTGCACGTTCACCTCAATGTGGGGCTTAGAACAAGCCATTAGAAAACAGTTTTGGAAGGACACATATGAATTGGCCTCTTATTAGTACATTGCAGAGATATTATTCCAGTTTTATGTAGCATATATCAAAATAAAAGCAACATTAATAGGATCATCAGCAAAGATAATACTAACATGAATCATCTCTGTGACTTCTGCAATACATTGTTGTCTTGCACATAGTTCCGTTGTCAAAGCCTCTTCCAACTGTGTAGGAGGTTCAGGTACTATGACATTCAGAGCTGTCCACTGTAAAGTAATGCTCTATTTGAATTGCTTATTTATTTTTATTTTTTTATGTATTTGGATTCCTAGCATAAGGAGTTTCAAAGCCTCTTTTGTACTTTTGAAATTATGAAGATTTGCAAGTTGGGTTACTTTTGAAATCTTGGAATGGATGCTTCATACATTTCGAGGAAGTCATTAAAAGAGGTATTAACTTTGATTTTTTTTTTTTTTTTTTTTGGTTGGTTTAGGCTAAAGTATGTGTACTGAAAAATGACAAATATGAGGGTTTTTTTTTTTTTTTTTACAGCATCCAGATGATGTATCTAACCATTGCCATATGTGAATCCAAAGAAGCGGCCTTCGAAGCTACCTGTAAGTAGTTACAATATTAAATTTGTATACGGTCGTTTATATTGTAATTTGGGTGTAATTGTAATATGCAGGTCTATAGGCCTAAACCCATTGTAGATTACTTTTGCTTAACACCAGAGTTTAACAAGTGGTTTCCTAAACATATGTTGATACATATTAGAGGGGCACAAGATGTTAAGAGTGATGGTAATTGTGGTTTTAGAGCCATTGGATCATTGATGGGATTTGGTGACAATGCTTAGCGCAAAGTACGTAGAGACTTGTTGAAGGAGTTGAGGAAATAATTTGTCATATACGAGTTAATATTAAATGGTAAGGAATGGGTACAACATATTGAGTATATGTTGGACTATTTTGAGGACTTCCCACTTCAAGATAGGTGGATGACTATATCAGATATGGGACACCTCATTGCATCTTGTTATAATGTAATCATCATGACTTGGTCAATGCATCAGTCACTTACATTTTTTCCATATGAGACTGCTCCATTGGATTCTATCTATCGCCATGAGATTTTGATTGGATTTGTTAACCACAACCACTGCATTAAGGTAAAACAATTAAGATGTTTATGCATATATATGTGTGTGTGTGTGTGTGTGTGTGTTTGTTTACTATTCTTTTCACATAACTTGATTTATTTTTTTATTTTTTATTTTACAGGTTTATTTGGAAGGTCAACACCCTATGCCACCAATTGATGAGCGTTGGTTGAGATGTGCAATGATAACTGCATCAAATTGGCTTACACCATATCAGGATCGTATACGTCAATTTAGATATGAAGCTGGTGTAGCAGACCCTTATGATAATAACCCTATATTTATTGAGTAGTTTTGTGAAGCATCATATTGTTGACATTAATAAGGAAGTCACAAGGCAAATAAAACCTTTTCTCAAAAGCTTAACTTTGTTAAGTAAGGACAGACTATTTATCAGTGCTTCCCAAAATGATATGTTCTTGAATCCCAACAAAATGTGTATTAGCATTCTTATCCGGAGAGCTTTCTCAAATTTTTTTCCTGTATTTTAGAGGTAACAAACAATAAGAGGTGGAGAGAAAATACAAGTTATTGGTTTCCAACTACGAATAGTCCATCTAGAGAGGTTGGGAAAGTTGAGAACAAATAAATTTCATAGTAGCATAGTAGTATATAACTGAAACATGCATAAAAAAATCACTATTAACGAAAGAGGTGGTGATTGCAGAACTTGGAATTGCAAAAAAAGTGTCAACAGTTTTAGTAGAAGCATAAATCCATATGAAAAGTCAAAGATTTATAAACACTATTAAAAAAATCAAGCTGAAAATCAACTATAAAATAATGCTACAAGTATTAGGGTGTACCAGGGGTATTTTTGGCAGTCCAATAGGGTGTACTTAGTTAATTTTACATTTTAATTAAAATATTATGGTGTACTTAGATCATTGGGTGTACTCAGTTAATTTTAGGGTAGGTTTAGCAGCACTCTTACTTAATACCTTATACTGTGGAGAAATTTAAAATGACTAATAGCTTGATTAAGGCCCCGAGTCTTAGTTTGAAAGATCAAAATATTACTCTGATGCCAATGTTTTCCGACAGATGGTAAAGAACCCTTCAAGAAAAGAAGGTGAAACCTGATGCCATTGGGACATAACATATGATCCAGTTATTAGCATCTATATTAGCAGGTGGGGATTTCATGCCAAAATCTTGTACAATGTACCAGAGTTGTGCATAATCTGATTAAGGGGTTCAGTAGACTTATGAAGACGGAACAAATGGGAATATTAATAAACAAAGTTTGATATTATTGATTGATTGTGAGGGAAAGATCAAGTAATCCCCTATCGTTTGAAAAATAAAAAATAAAAAAATCTCACCACAGTTTACCAAGAAAAGTAACCACTCAAATAAAAAGAACTTGTCGGAAATGAAATGAGACCCTCCTTCCTCTTCATTGAAAAGCATAAGAAATGACTCATTGACGCAACAAGACTTGGACTCCCATTAGAAACGTTGGAGATAGCTGACCATAAAAATCGTGTACTCTACACCTCGCTCTGTTCGCCACTACTTATCTCTCTCTCTCTCTCTCTCTGCATCTCTTTTCTGAGGCTGTTAGCTTTGCTTCTTGCTGATCTTGTATTTTTTTGTGAGTTTCTTGTTGGCTTGCTGGTCTTGTGGTTGTTGTCTTACCAATTCTGCTGCCTTGCTTCGTCTCCATTTTCATAATTGCGTTGTTCAGGTAACATTAATGTTGAAATTCTCTATGCTGAAATGGAAGTAGATATTTGATATCCAAATGGACATGTTTGCTTAGATATTTGGTCCAAATTGACATGTTTGCTTAGATGATCCAAATTAACACCATGACAAAATCCATGTTTGACTATCTAAATTTCCCCAGTTGCTCTGAAACTTGTTCTGCTGCATTATATGCCTTCGTATTTATTCAGTTGAGTGTTTGGATTTTTGAATATTTAATTAGCGAAGTTCTTGTTTCATTGAGTAGTGTTTACAGCAGAAGCAGCAGATTTCCAATGGCGTTGAGCACCCAAAGAGCCTCTGCTTTTTATCCTTCAGCAGATCAGTCGGCTCCTCCTCAATGGAACTATGATGTGTTTTTGAGTTTCAGGGGGGTAGACACTCGAAATAGCTTTTTATCCCATTTATACCACGAATTGCAGCACAGGGGAATTAAAACATTCAAGGATGATCCAAAGCTTGAAAGAGGGACAACTATTTCTTCTGATCTCTTCAACGCAATCCAAGAATCAAGGCTTGCAATCGTTGTTCTCTCGCCAAACTATGCTTCTTCTTCCTGGTGCTTGGATGAACTTACAAAGATTCTCCAATGCATGAAATCCAACGGCACAGTTCTGCCTGTGTTTTTTAATGTGGATCCCACCGATGTGCGAAAACAAAGCGGCAGTTTTGCAGGTGCGTTCGCTGAGCATGAGAAAAGGTTTAGGGAAGACGTAGAAAAGGTGAAGTGCTGGAGAGCTGCTTTAACTGAAGTTGCCTATTTATCTGGGTTGGATTCAAAGAATGAGTAAGCAACTTCTCCACAAATACTTGGGTTTTTCGTAAGCCAATTTTCACTTTGATGTACCTTTAGACCTTGTTATATCTATGGCTTATACTTTTGACTTAATCATTGTTCTTCCTTGTAGGTGTGAAAGAAAGCTCATTGAAAAGATTGCAGAATGGGTGTGGGGGAAAGTGCATCGCACATTCAAGTTGTTAGATTCAACAGAGTTAGTGGGAATTAAGTTTACACGTGAGCAAATGGATTTGCTTGTAGCTCATACAGATGATGTTCGCTTTGTAGGGATATGGGGGATGGGAGGCATTGGCAAGACAACCATTGCTAAGTTTGTTTATGAAAGCATTTCTTTTCATTTTGAAGTTCCCTGCTTTCTTGCTAATGTTAGAGAGGCTTCTGAAGTTAATCATCTTGTTGATCTACAAAGACAGCTTCTTTTCCCTATCTTGAAGGAACAAATTGCTCAAGTTTTGAATGAAGACTGGGGGACCCATTTCATTAAGAATTGCTTATGTAATAAAAAGGTTCTTCTCATTCTTGATGATGTGAATGCATCAAGCCAACTAGAGAAATTTGCTAAGGAAAAGGATTGGTTTGGTAAGGGGAGTATAATCATCATTACAACTAGAGATGAACGGTTGGTTAAAAAGCATGATATGGAGATAGCATATAAGGTAGAGGGATTAGGTGATGATGAGGCTCTTCAGCTCTTTAGTCTGAAGGCCTTTAAAAAATTTGAGCCCGAGGAAGGTTTTTGGGAATTGTCCAAGTGCTTTGTAAATTATGCTAGAGGCCTTCCATTAGCTCTTAAAATTTTGGGATGCTCTTTGTATAAGAGAGATCGAGATGAATGGAAAAATGAATTGGATAAGCTATGGAAAATTCCTGAGACAGTAATTTTCGATTTGCTCAAAATCAGTTTTGATAGACTAGATGAGATGAGCAAGAATATATTTCTCGATGTTGCATTTTTCCTTAAGGGGAAGGACAAGAAGAAAGTAATTGAAATACTAGACAGTTGTGACCGTTGTGGTGGGATAAATGCTCTCGTTGAGAAGTCGCTCTTAACTATTGATAATTCAAACAACTTTAACATTGTTGGGATGCATGATTTGATACAAGAAATGGCATTTGAAATTGTTCGTCAAGAGTCTCCTGAAGAGCCCGGTGGACGTAGTCGATTGTGTCATCGTAATGACATCATTCATGTATTGATAAACAATACGGTAAGAAGTTAAAAAGAAAATACCAATTTTTATTTGTTTTTTTAATTTAAGAAATATGATTTCTTTTTAACTCAATATAAGACTTAAATGTGGAATTAACTTTTTCTTTTCTATTCTTTATTACAGGCAACTAACAAAATTCAAGGCATCGCCTTAAGCATGGTGAAACTTGAAAAGGCGGATTGGAATTGTGAAGCATTCTCTAAGATGATTAACCTGAAATTTCTTGAAGTTGACAATGTGATCAATACTTCAAGCCCCATAATTCTTCCTAATTCCTTAAGAACTATGATATGGAATTATTTTCCTTCGAAATTTCTCCCATCAGATTTTCAACCGAATAAACTTGTTTCACTTGAGATGCAGGACAGCGAACTAGTTGGGCTGTGGGATGGAAGAATTGTAAGATTACTGACCATATGCCATCTTACGAATTTTTTGAAAAAAGAGAGTAAAAGTTTAAGTTTTTCGGTTGCTAATTATATGTTCTACTATTTCATGTAATATTGTACAGGACTTGCCTAATTTGAAATACATGGACCTTAGTTGGTCTCCAAACTTGGCAGCAACCCCAAATTTCACTGGCATTCCAAAACTCCAGGTGTTGAATCTTGAAGGGTGTGAGAATTTAGTTGAGATTCACCCGTCGGTTGCATATCTCAAATGGCTTACAGAATTAAGACTAGATGGATGCAAAAGTGTTAAGAGTCTTCCAAGTGAGGTAGAAATGGATTCTCTTGTGTGTTTCGTACTTGACGGTTGCTCAAAACTGAAAAAGATTCCAGAATTTTCAGGACAAATGGAAAATTTGTCATCTCTTTTTTTAAAAGGGACGTCCATTGAGAAATTACCTTCATCAATTGGACGTCTTGTTGGCCTTACTCATCTAAATGTAAGTAATTGTGAAAATCTCGTGGGTCTTCCGAGCGAAATTTGTAATTTGAAGTCTCTTGAATGGCTCTCTGCAAGTGGAAACTCATTTAGTGACAAATCAAGGTTTTGGTGGGGCCTCCAAAGAAAGGCTTTTGTGTTGAGTTCAGTACTTGGTTTATGGTCTTTGAGGCTTTTGGATCTGAGTGATTGTGGTCTTTGTGAAGGGGATATTCCCGTTGATATTGGCTGCTTGTCCTCTTTAGAAAAATTAGACCTTAGTCGAAACAATTTTGTTAGCCTTCCTGCAAGCATTGGATGTCTTCCTAAGCTTGTGTCATTTTCGGTACACGGGTGCCAAAGGCTTCAACAATTGCCCTATTTCCGCTTTGGATTGGTTGATAATGAACGCTTCTCCGGTGTTTTCATGAACACAGACGATTGCACTTCCTTAACAACGTTGCCAAAGTTGAGCATAAAAAAAGAAAGAAATTTTGTTTCGTTGAGTTGTTTGAATTGCTCTGGATTGGTTGAGAATGATGGCTGCGATGATAGTATAATACTTGGAATAATGCTCTGGACTTCTCTGGATTGGGGATTCCTTCAGGTTCCCTCTTTGTCTCTCTCTCTCTCTTTGTTTGCTATAATAACAAATAAATAATCAAGTTACTAACCTATACATGCATGGTACAGGGACATCGTTGGCATATTCCCGCTTTTCAAATTGTAACACCTGGAAGTAGAATTCCAGAGTGGTTCAATAATCAAAGTGTAGGAGATTCCTTAATTGTGGAGCTACCTCCATGTACCACGTGGATTTGGATTGCTTTTTGCGCTGTCTTTGAAGAAGGTGCCCCTGTGGATCACCCAAATCCACCTCATGACCTTTCTCCCCATTTTCAAATTGAATGTCGCCCGGAAGAAGGTGCCCCTGTGCGGAGTAAATTCATTCATAGAGGCCATCTTGTGTCACCTCACCTTTGGGTATTTTGTGTATATCCTTCTGTAGTCGGCAAAGAATGCAGTCAGATGAAGATTTCATTCCATTGTTTTTCAGATGCTTACCCAGACGGAATATATTACTCGGGTATAAAGAAGTGTGGGTTCCGTTTGGTGCACAAGCAAGACGTGGAAGAACTCAACCAAACCATGATGATGAACCACTCCATCAACATCAGCACAAAAGCTACTTCACCTCACAATTCTCACAATTCAGCTGATGCAAGTGGAAGCTCTCACCAAAAATCTCTCTGCCTCAAAAGCTATGCTCTTTCCAAATGGTTTTTAACAAAACTTGTAAAGATTTTCTCCCTCTTTTTAACAACTGCAGTTTTTATCAAATCTTTCAACAATGGCGAACAATGGGGATGCATAGGACTTTTGATTTGGAGGGTAACCACTTTGATTTCCTACTTAGGCCTTGCACCCTCTTATTTTTCGCTATTGTTGAAAAGTTTAATAAAAACTGTTATTCTTAAAAGAGCAGCTAAATTTTTGCGATCTTTGTTAAAAACACCGCCTCCTCAGACGTCTGCACATAAATACTTGAAAGGCTAATGACGGTCTTCTCACAATTGATATTAGTAAGTTCCCGCTATCTTTTCTAGCCATACATTTGCCAATAGATTCATCACTTACTGTTTCCTCTCTCTCTCTCTCTCTCTCATCCATCATGTACTTTTGTTATGAATACATTTCTGTTTAAACTACTGCAGAGCATTAATCAACTCATGTAGTATATACATGCATGCAAGAGCAGCATATTTTATGCATTTGAACAAAGTATCTGTTAACGTACTGCAAATCAACAAGTAATTACACTAGCAATCAATAAGTTAGTAATTACATTATTATTAGATCCAGCTGATCAAAAGTAGTCAACTCAAATTTTGGGTCTCAATACAGGATTTGGAGCTGATCAAAAGTAGTTGCGTGCTTATTGGCCAAGTTCGCATGAAATTTGCACCTCAAGAGCTACTAGCTCATTAGACCTAGCTTTGTTATAATGGTTTGATTCTTATTGACACAAATTACGCGACTATTTCAACTGTCGTCTTATGAATTTTCAATCAGAAGATTAGCATTGAGAATTGATGCTTTGTCGGGATTCCTACCTTGTCAACTTCACTTCTTCTCGTTGATAGTTTGTGCAATCTCCTTCAATTATGCAGTCTTCTCTTATTTAGCATATCTGAGTTTTAAATTACCTCCTGTAACATACTAGAATTTTGGGAGGTTCATTAAACATTCGTATAGGTGAGTGTCGTTTGAGACGACAATTTTTCACAGTGGTCAATATGTTGAGTAGAATTGAGCTGTCCTAGTTGAATCTTGAAACAAGCAAACTATAATAACTTTTTTTTAATTAAAAAAGTTGGAGAACTGGATTTATGAGGTACCACATGATTTATGAATAAGTATTAGTTGCCAATCTATTCAGAATGTAGGCACTCACATTTCCACGAAGGCAGAGGACGGCATTTTCACGCTAAAAGGCACAAAAAATTTAAAGTCACAAAAAATTAAGATGCATTGTGAGCTATAGATACGTTTTTAAAAGGAACAACCAGGCTAAAAGGCAGTCTGCAACAAACACAAGTGAGGGCCGAACAATTAAGAACGAAAATAGAGATCCAAGTAGACAGTGATTTTAATGTCATTGTCTCATATAAAACTTCAAATGTTCAAGATTGAGGTAGATTTAGCTAACGTGTACTTCTTGAATCAAAGTACCAAGAGAAGAAAAAAGCTAGCACTCTTTATGCTGTTTTATTAAGTCCTATAAGCTAAAGGCATTCAAGGCATCAAGTATTAGAAACATATTCCACGATACATAGAGAAAAAAAAAATTTGGAAAAATAATGTAACCATTTATAAACCACTTAATTTACCGTCTGGATGCATTTTATATAATCATCCATTTATCAATCCATTGTTTTGAATCTTAATGTTGCAACAAGATGATCTTAGGAATGTTGTTTCCGAGGTTTGGTATTTCAGACCCAATTTAAGTTTGTTGCTAATCAATTTATCTTTCAGTGCAGCTTGCCGCCAATTACAATTATGATGATGTCCAGATGAGCGTCACTTGCTTCATCATCAAAATTCAGTTGATACTGAATCAAATTCTTTTTAACAAAATTTGAGAAACAAAAAGGCCTTACAAGGGAAAGCATCAATGGCGCCTTTCACCAACCATACTTTTTCAGCAAATCTCCGGTTCTCTTCCTCATCCGAGTAAAAACTACTACCACCAGAGCAATGATCCAAGGAGGAAAATTCAAGCCAGAAATGTTCAATTTTTGGACCCACTGTGGAGGATCTCTCAAAACCAAGGTTATCAAGACGGTTATAACAGCTACTCCAAGCAAGATTTTTGTCACCGGTTGGATCAAGGAATCCTGCATTTAGAGAAGAATTAAGTAGGAAAATTAGTACCAAAAGACATATCACATGTCACTGCAACATTCCACTGTCTGCAACATAATGCATATCAAAGAATCTTGTGGCAAATAAATTGTAAACAGTCCACCTGCAGAGCATTCCTTTACATGGGAGAAAATCAAATTATTTGTCTTTTAGAAGGAAATGCGAGGGTGGAAAGACAAAAGATACAGGAGATCCTGACAGACTGCTCATGAAATAGACAATAAACACATAAGAAAGTATGTGGTGTTGCGCTAATAGCAACAGTTTCTGACCATAAAAACGAAAAATGAGCGAAGACAAAACCGTAACAATGCTGTGAAATCCTTTTTTTTTAGGAATATGTGGTTGTAAAACTCAGTGTCTATGATATAAATTATCAAAACCTATAAGATGAATCCTGCAGGTTCTTTACGGGAACTTTTGCCATTTTGACTTTTAGGAAAGGGGTCCTGTTTTTGTGAGACGAACGCCAAGAAACCCCAAACTGTAGGAACCCATTTTGGATTGTCTCACTATGAGTTACTGCTTCATGGAATCTTTAAACTAACTTTGGGTAAGAGTTACTTATGTGGTCTTGAGCTACTATCTTTGGTTCTTCCTTTACCTTTTGTTTTCTTGTGTCCCAAATATGTGGATTTTCATGTTTGTTATACAATATTTGAGTTTAATTCAGCAAATCTTCAGTTCAAATGCCATTTCCCTTTCTCTCAGCTGTTTCTCATGCTTGTTCAACTTCACCTCTAATCGCTTCTCTTCAGTATCTCTGGATTTCCTATGGAAATATCCAAAATTACTTCAAATTTTGGTTATTTCTTTTGGGTCTTTCCATTAAATTTTCTTTTATATTTCTAAGCTAAAATAGGCATACATAACCCTTTACATCTCGACCTAAACCTCAGACTGTTATCATACGTCATCATGTGTGCAAAGAGAATTGAAATTCAAGCGCCTTCTTTAGATTAAATACAGCTATTAGGTTATTATTTACCTAACCAAATTGGAGGACAATATTTTGTGCCTTTTTTTTTTGGTACAAATGATACAAGAGAAATTTAATATGACTAATGGCTTGATTAAGGGATGGAGTCTTATTTTGAAAGATCAAATTATTACTTTGATGACAAATTTTCCAACAAATGAAAAAGAATTCTTCAAGAAAAATACTGTGAAATCCTACTGTTTAGGAAAGTGTGGTTGTAAAACTCAGTGTCTATCATATAAATGATCAAAACCTATAACATGAATCCGGCAAGTTCTTTAGGTGAACTCAATTGTCAAAATCATATCCAAGCTTAGGCTGCAAACAGAATGTCATGTAAACAAAAGAACAGAAAATAAGCATGGAAATTGATGCCTCAAATTCAAAAAAGTAAATTGCTATAATTTATCTTGCCTTTAAAGGTTCTGATTGTATGGAGGAACTACCCTATTGCTAATTGAGAGTGACCTGCAGCCTAGTTCATTTATTTCAAATAGTTGGAATATCATGGCTGCAAACCATGAAAATATAAATTGCCTTAACAAAGCATTCTCAATATGAAAAATTCCGCATCAAATGTCAAACACTTCTCCATCTATTCTATCTCACACTCAAATTCAGTATCTCTTATGACCGCATTAAAGTTACATTTATTTCTACCCAATGCAACCAAATTTTCTCGGCAACCAAACAGAAACTTACTTCGATTAATTTCACAAACTGGGTTTTCATAAAAAATAAAAATAAAAAGATATAGAAATGATGTATGTGGGAGCAGATATTTTCGTCTCCAATCACAGCACGCCACGTGGAAAAGAAGATTATCTCTTTTAATTAATTAATTGAACCAGTTTATCTGGCCAATTAATTAATTGGGATAAATATCTTAATTAAATGATATTATCTTTATTTAATAAGATAATATCATTAATTAAGATATTATCCTAATAAAGAGAAGATAATGTCATTATCTCAGATATTATCTTCATAAAAAGAGATAATATCATTTAATTCA